AATATTCATTTAATGCCATGCACATATTATATAACATATATGGCATATATCGCTCATATGGGAGTACAGTGGCTATAAAAGATAGGCACTGGACTGAGAACCACAAGGTCTGCAGTTCAAGTCCGCAGGAGAAAGATTAGGCTTACTGCTCCTGTGAAGATTTAAAGCCACAGAAACCCTAGACAGGGGGGTCTCTATAAGTCAGAACTTATTCATGGCACTAACAACAAACGCACATATAATGTCATAGACATATAATGTCATATATCAAGTTCTGGAAATAATGTACTCTTACGAAAAAAGGTTAATCATATTGAATCACAACCAAAAAGCAATAAATGTCCTAACAATGTCCTTTTACCTAGCAATCCTACTTCTAGGACAGGGGTGGGGAATATCCGGCCCGTAAGGCACATAAAGCCCACAAAATCATTTAGTGTGGCCCTGCCAAGGTAATCACAGTTCCAGCTATTACATCTGTTGTTGTTAAGTGTCGTTGAGTCGGTTCTGACTCATAGCAACCCTGTATAGGGTTTCCAAGGAGCGGCTGGTGATTTTGAACAGCTGACGACTTTGTGGTTCAAACCAACCTTACAGTACAGTACTTTATCCTACAGCGCCACACACACATTTTATTAGGGGCAAGTTAATTAAATGTTTGACCATATATAGCAGGTTAATTTTTAAGTTGATAATTTTATATGGCCCTTGAACGATGTTATAAATTTTGGCAGAAGAAAAGGTTCCCCACCCCTATTCTAGGAATTTAACCTCATAATTGGACAAAAGTGCAAAACTGAATGTATAAGGTTATTTATCTTAGAACTGTTCATAAGAACAAAAAAAGGAACTATCAGTAAGTACCCAGTAGGACTAAGTCGTTACAAAATCGAATACTATGTAGTATTATGAAGACTTAGAGCTACCTTTACTACTGTGAAAGGAAGTTTAAGCATATTATATATATATGCGTGTGTGTGTTTGAAATGACATTTACAATGAAGCATATACAGGAGGATACACACTGGGACTTCAATAAGTTGGTAAAAAAAATGGAATTAGAAAACAAGAAATATTGAAGCCTCCTCAAATGCTATATATAGAATATGTCCCCAGATGTAGAATTTTTAAGTTTTCAATTTCACTCATAGTTCTGCAATATTGGGTCTTTTTACTTGTTCTCCAATGACCATGTTTTACTTATACAAAAATAATGAACCCAACATTTATTAAGCATTACTATATGCTAGGCACTAGTCTAAGCATTTTTTGCATATTAACTCATCTAATCCTTACAACAATTCTATGAGGCAGGACTATCATTACCCACATTTTACAGGTGAGTAACAGAGGCTACAAAGTTTGTCCAAAATCATACAGCTAACAAGTAGAGAAGCCAGATTCAAACCTCAACAAACTGGCTTCACAGCCCAAGCTTTTAATCACTGTGTTAAAAACTGCTTTCCAGACTGAAAAACCCAAGTTTCCAAAACAAAATGTATAGTGTGGTACCACTTTTATGAAAACAATTTAAAAAGGAAAAAGTATTACATGTTGTTCTTTCTGTTAAGTGTCACTGAGTCAGTTCTAACTCATACTGACCTGGTAGAGGGTTTCTGAGGAGTGTCTGGTATGTTTGAACTGCCAACCTTGTGGTTAGAAATCCAGTGCTTATCCTACAGTGCCACACCAGAAGTCCATATAAGTCTAGATGCTGAGATTATAGTTTTTATCCAAGTTATACATTTTTGCTAGCTTCATTTTTTTTTTTTTTTCAATCCCCTTCATATCCATGGGGTAGGGGGGGAGACTCCATTATTTGTAGGGCAAGGAGCAAAACTGTTAAAAAATTACCCTTTTCTCCTTTGTTCCTATGGAGCAATGTAGAAAACAGGCTTAGATTTTGGCAGAGATTGTGGTATGGAGACACAAAGCAGCTGTGGGCTCTAGGTCCATGGACTGAGTAAGGTTGTGTGCCTGCAAGCAAGAGGCTGGCTTCCTGGCTTCCAGAATATGCCCTTTGGACATTTAAAAGAATTTGCCCTGAATTTTGTTTTGTAGGTGTATATCAAATATTTTTGCTTTGTTCATTTGTGAAATATACATTGTAACAGGGAAGCCACAGAGAAGAAGTGAGGTAACTGTTGTTGTGGGGTGGGGATTGTAACCATTGAGTTGAAACAAAGCATATAATTTATTGAATGTAAAGCTGATGATCTTTATCTGTTAACCTTCAATTCACATAAAGAGTTCAAAAACAAAAAAAATCTAAAGCTTTTTAAAATCTATTTGAGATTCTCCTGCTTTATCTATTATATCCTGATATCCTGTAACTATATCCTTCAGGGATGTGGCCTTAAGAATCAAGAAGAAATTTAGATTTCTAATTTGGCTGGGTTATCCCCATTTGCCACCTCTGATGTGGCTGCATACAACATTGGCAGCCAATTCTCAGTTAGGTTGCCTTGTCCTGTCCCTAAGCAGGCAGTCTATAGCTTCTAACTTTTGTAACTTACAGCACTGCTGTGAGGCTGTCAGAGAGGCAGGTTAGCATTCCAAAAAAAGATGCCTCACAAGAACTCATCTGCTCACTACCCTGCGACAGAAGCCTTAATAAAACCGAAACCTCAAGAGTCACAGGCAATGACTACATACAACCACTTTGAGATGTGCAATACAACCAGTCTTGGAAGGCTTCACTCAAACTGGGGAGCTGAACTAAAGTAGTACTGCGGGGTCCCTTCAGGCTTATTCCCTGATTTGAACATCCTAACTAACCCACACTGAAAATTCCTTTCCAAGTCTCCTGCTCTGCTAGCCAGAACCAAACCAGGTAAATTATGTTACTACACTTGGTGTTGGTGAAGAATATTGAAAGTACTCTGGACTGTTAAAAGAACACACAAGTCTGCAGCCAGAATGGCAAAAGTGCAGAGAGGATAGCAAGACATCCTCTCACATATTTTAGACATGTTATAAGAAGGGACCAGTCCCTGGAAAAGGACAACATGCTTGGCAAAGCAGAGGGTCAAAGAAAAAGAGGAAGACCCAACAAGACAGCCTGGAACAGTGGCTGCAACAATGGGCTCATACATACCAACTGTGAAGATGGCCCAGGGTTAAATAATGTTTTGTTCCGTTGTGTATATTGTCACTATGAGTTGGAACTAAGTCGACGGCATCTAATAACATACTTTCTCCATGTTCCAACAGCATCTCTCCGTTACTGATCAATATCATTGTCAAAATGCAAGAGCTTTATCAGAATCCTTCCCACACTTTTTTAACTTTTCTGTTGCACTTGTCTCTTCTGGTCTACCCCTACAGAGCTAGTAATTCTTTAAAAAAAAAAGTTTCCAAAGGACCATGAACATTTCTCCTCACTTACTCGGAGTTCCCTAAACCCGTGTACAGATACACAAACCATATACACACTCTCTCTCACACACACACACACAGAGGAAGAGTAGAGAGAGAAGAAACCTCAACTCACAATTTTAATTTTAGAGTGAGTGGCATGCAACAATTTTTGGCAAAAGTATAGGGACAAAAGTCAGGTACATGTGATGTCATCTCCCACCAGTTGTCTCCCTTCCAGGCCGGAATACTACACAGGTACAGAAGGCTGAGGAGTCTACAGCCCCAATAACTACAAACCACCAGGCACACAGGAAAAGGGCCCATTACCTGCCCCAGTCTAAGGAAAAAGATGAGTTCTAGGAATCTCAACCTCCTGAAAACTATCAGTGGTAATGAATTTCATAAGTGTTCCTAAAGGATTTCCCATCTCCTGGTTTTCCAATGAGGGGATATTTATTGTTGTGAAGTACTATCATGTCAGTTCAAACTCATAGCAACCCTGCGTAGGATTTCCAAGGGGCAGCAGGTGGGTTTCAACTGCTGACCCTGTGGTTTGCAGTCCAGTACTGATCATACAGTGCCACACCACGAGTCCAAATGAGGGAACAGGACTAGGGAAAAAGTGTAAGTGCCTTATTGAAAGGAAAAAAAAAAAAACAGCATCAAAAGTATAAAAACCTGAGTCCTAGTCCTAGCTGTATCACTGACCAAAGGCATGACCTTGGGCAAATTACTTAACCTCTTTGGGCCTCAGTTCCTACATGAAATGAAACTGAAACATCCTGCACCACGCAAGTTCTAAGGTGCTCTTCAAGTTCTAGGATCCTAGGACTCAGCATATAAAACAAACACAGGGACAAATTAGGGGGTGGTTATTTTATAAAAGGTGCCCTGGCTTTACCACTAATGCCCTGTTCTCCTTAGGCAAGTCACTTGAAAGCAGCCTTTTTTATGTAAGCAGTAGAATTCTTAGACTGAAATCCCCTTCCCTGTTAGGAACTCAATGTCTTCACTTGTGTGATGAGGTAGTGGACTACATGGCCACTAAGGTCCTGTTTAAATCCAAAATTCACAGATTTATCATAGAGAACTTTTAGACTTCTTTATTATAATTTAATTAATTCAATTTACAAAATAATCTAGAAGGTGCACAACTCTTTAAGAATTCTTCACTGTCCAGTAAGGATCTCTCACACCACCATGCACTTCTGTGTGGCTACCTTAAATCCCATCTGCATCCTACACACATATTCTCCTCATCAGTGAAAACATGTAAAAGAAACAGAAAACACACTCCTTGTCCTCAGTTAACACAAGATGTAGGTTTGAGTCCAATGAGAATACAGGATAAAGAAAAAATAAAACATAAGAGAACATAAAACTTACTAAGTAACTTACCAATAAGTAAAAGTTAAGTTAATAATCCAACATAATTCACAATAAAAAATTAAAAAAGTTAAAAGTTAATAGTTAATTTAAGACATAAATATGCGAAGAAAAACAGGCAGGTGAGGGTTTGTCATGGAAAGCTTTCTGCAGAAAGGAGTTTTAAGAATCAGACTTTCAAGGGCAGAATGAACCCCAATTGGCAGAGAAGAAGGCTGAGGCCTGGAATGGGATCCTGAATAAAGGCTCTTTACCTTCCAAGAGTTGGGGGGCAGGTTCCCTGTTCACAAGGCTCCAACCCCCTGTTGCCTCCACTCAGTTCCACTCAGGAGACGCTTCCAGTAGCCCATCTTGTTGGCTATTTTCTGAATGAGTCTTCCTCCCTAGTGACAAGTTCCATTGTCAAGGGAATGAAGTTGATGTCACAATCAGGAGCACTCTATTAATAGGAACAAGAAAAGAAGGTGAGTCAGGGGAACTACCTCCACCTGGCAGGAAGGCTGAACAGACTTGGGTCTGGCAGGCAACAGGATGAGACTACTGCAGTAAGGACTACAGGTTTCACCGCTACATATACAGGACTACCGTCTAAGGAGGTAGATACCCACATTCATGGTCCAGTAAATTCAAACAGAGCAGGGTTGGGGATAGAAAGGGATAAGAAAGGTTAAGAGGAGCTGTCTGAGATAGAAAAAAACTATTTTATTCAGTGCATATGACTACAAGTGATTCCAAATCATAGTATCTTACATGTATTAAATGGTGTTTGAAGATGTCCAAAATGCTTTCACATCAACTATTCTATGTAAAAAGAATTCTGGTCCTACCCTCCAATTGGAAAATACTATTCTCATAAGGTGAAAACACTCAAGAATATTTTTAATGGTGCAATTCTATTTCCCAAGTCTGATGTTCCTGAAGACATCAGACACTAAAAAAGAAAAAAGAAAATGAAGAGGCAGTGAATCTGGAAATTATTCCAGGGGGACAACTGGGAAGACTGCAGCAAATCAGTATGATAAGGCAGACTCTCATCACCAGAAGGATGAAACCAAGCAAAAGACAAGGGTTTCAAGGAAGGATACGGAAAAATCTATTTAAATATATTCAGGAGGACAGCAACCACTCAAACTCCCTTTCTCTCCATCATGGCTGTGTTTTTCAGGGCTGTGTTAGGATGATTATACATGAAACAGACCATTTCCGTTCCTGCTCATTAGTTTACTAGGTTCATCAGCAACAAGTTGAGAGTAACATTTTCAGAGACAAAAGGGCAATGTCACACACACTTTTTCACACCCATTACTCCTTCCTCTCCCAGAACACAAAGGGTATAATGCATGCTTCATTTGGACAAACCCAATTTCCCAACATTCTGGCATATGCACTTGTACCCCAGGAAATGCTTTCAGGGTCACTGCTGTTGGCTACACTCTGTTTTCTCCAAGTGACAAAGTCCAGACTCAGAAAGCAAATAGTTGTCAATGCTGGGAAAACCAATTCCACTTTGTACTACGTCTCTGATAACCCCATGGCCAGAACAAAACAAAAATACAACTGAGAGGAAGACGAGAATGCAGGAGACTTGAGTTCTGGTCCTGGCTCTTCCATCAACCAATTGTATCACTTTAAATATGCCATGTATATTCCTTACTTCAATGGTCAATTTCTGCAGTTGCCAATAAGGGGACATGATACCTGCCTTACCTACCTTATATGGTGTCCTGAAAATAAAATGAAATAATGTGAAAACATCTTGAATACTGCTATGCCCAGATAAAGTGTTATTTATAGCAATAGAATGAAAATAATTTCAGAGTAGTAAGGGACAGTGAGAGAATGCTTGAAAAAAGATTCTTTCTTCATTTCAATTACGGCTACCAGGCCCAGTACAAGGTCGGCTGGACACACAGGGAAGTACTATTACTCTATCACTTACATTCCCTACCACTAGTCCACCTACATTCCTATTTTGGAAAAAAACAAAAGCAATTACCAGTCTCTCAGATTCTCAAACCACTATACAAAAAGGAATAAGACTATCTATCACAGCCCATCCCAAAAAAACAGTAGCTCAGTGTCCTCATTAACAGCCACATTTGCTTTAGATGAAAAGATGGCACTTTCTGTATGGGGAAGTTGTCAATCAATTCCTCAAGCAACCCCCCCACCCCTCTTGGCTCTCTTCTCCTCGAGGGAGGGGGGGTTGGCTTTCTCCTGTGCGCTAGGGTGGGTAAGGGTGCTAAGGGCAGGGATGTAAGGAATGTGAAATTCCTTCCTGGAGGGGTGGGAGGCGGGGAAGACTGGGGAAGAAATTAATGAGGAGGACCAGACTAAGGGCTGCCAAAGACAGGGCAAGAGAGACAAGCCAAGCTACCGCGCTTCGAGGGCAGGGGTTAAGGTTCCACCGCCCCTGCCCAGCTGCCCCCATCCCTTACAACGTTCTCTTCCTCCCCTCCAGAATTGACTATTTAATACCACATTCCCAGGCCCTCCTCCTTCCTGTACTCCAGCCAGCCCAAGGCCCCTCTCGCACTTCTCACGGTTCCCTACTCAAAGACCCACAGACGACACATCTTCCAAAACCCCTTCTCACCTCCCAACTCTTCCCAGTGCTGCCCTGTCCTCCATTTTTCATCTCTACTCCATCCCTTCTTCTGACACCACCCCCACCCTTGAGTCTTCCTCCCTCCCACCCGGGCATCGTTCCCCTCCCCTCCCACACCCTTTTTTAGGTTGGGGCCCACGCAAGCGCAGTACGCACCGCCCGGGAAGCGGTCTAGACTCTCCGTACCCCGACCCGACTGGAGCTGAGGCCGCAGTGGCCAAAGGCCAGCCCCGGTGCCGACTCCCAGCCTCTCCCGGGAAGGAAAGGGGAAGGGGAAGGAGGGGGAAAGGTTCTGACCACTCTTCTCCTTCTGAGACAGATCCTTTGCCCCGCCCACTACTGCTACACAACCCGGCGGAAACCGTCACCAAACCCCGCCTCTGTGTTTAACTTAGATTCTGGGAGAAGCGGTGATCGACCAACGAGGAGAGACGAAGGCTAGCCGGGCTGCTGCTCGAGACCGGAAGTCTTTATGCTCCCATTGAGGACAACCTAGGCATTTGGGAGGAAGTACTCTATGTTCTTCACGAGTAAAAGTCAGGGACCAAACCCGGAAAAACTGGGGAGGAAAAAGAAGTGGTGGGAGTGAACGTCTCTAGGGAGCAAGACTGCTTTGGACGGGTGCACTTGCCACCTGTGTTATAGAGCTGATGCATTGTGGCGCGAGATGGTCGCAGGGAAGCTAGTCTGCAAGAAGTGTGACTAGCCGTGCGCCTGACCCCACTTGCCTTTCCAGAACCGTGGTCAGCATCTCCGAGCCTCCCAACCCTGTGACTCACAGTCATGGGAGTGGATACTGCAATCAACAAGGCTGCTGCCGGGTGGGGAGTTGGGGGGGAGAGTCTGACAACAAGGCTTTGACCTATGATGCCCAAAGAATTGCCCACCACGCCTCTCTCCCAAGCACACTCCTGCCATTTCCACACAATGGATCCACAAATGGCCAGTGAGTTCCCTGAAACAGCTAAGCGAGGGGAAGACACAGAGAGAAAATGTACCTCTTCTTGGGACCAACAATCTATTCTCCAGCTTTCTTTTCCACATCCCAACTCCCCCGGTGCTATTCCCTTCCACAGTTTTTTTCAGTTTTTTCCTATCCTTTCTGACCCCCAATGTCTATAACCACCCCAAAGGTCTGATTTTTTTTTTTTTTTAGGGTATGACTCTGTCGTTGGGGGTGTGGGCAGGAGAGAACCGGTCTCTGACTGCACACCAAGAAAAGGCAGGTGGAGCCTAAAGCTCTCTAAGAGAAGCAAGAGATTTATTAAGCAAGCCAAAGTATTACAATTACATACTTGACCTCTTAGGCTAATCTTGTTACAAATAGTATTTGTTATGGATATTCACAATTACATTGTAATGCATATTAGTATATCTTTATGAAATGGGTTTGTATACAACAGTACAGAGCTAACTACATTTTGCCCTTTGTCACCACTCCTATTAAATATTGTACTGAAAGTCTTAACCAAACCTATAAGGTAAGAAAGTGAAATTATTTGTTGTTGTTGTTGTTAAGTGCCTTTGAGTCAGTTCCAGCCCATAGGGTCCCTGAATAGGGTTTCTGAGGAGCGGCTGGTGAGTTCAAACCCACCTTGCGGTCCAGTGCATTATCCCACTGCAACACACAAGGATGCCATTAAATATTGTGTTGGAAGTCTTAACCAAAGCTATAAGGTAAGAAAATGAAATTAAAGGCATCCAAATTGGCAAAGAAGTAAAACTCTACTTATAGATGATATGATCCTATACATTAAAAATCCCAAGGACTCAGGGAGAAGATTATTGGAACTTGTTGAAAGATTCAGCTAAGCGACAGGTTTAAGATCAAATTACAAACATCTATCTGATTCCTTGGAAACCTTATATGGAGTCACTATGAGTTAGAATTGACTGGAACTGAACAATGACAGCAATACAGAAAACTCTGAAAAGGAAGTCAGGAAAACAATACCATTTACAAAAGCCACCCAAATGATGAAGTACTTAAGAATACATCTAATCAGAGAAAAGACCTAGAAAAAGAAAACAGTAAAACATTACTACAAGAAACCAAAAGAGAGCTACATAAATGGAAGACTATAGTACGCCTATGGCTCAGAAGATTTGTGAAAATGTCAATTCTACCCAAAGCCAGCTAGAGATACAATGCAACCCCAATCCAGATTCCAACATCATTCTTTAAAGAGATAGAAAAACTAATCACCAACTTTATGTAAAAGGAAAGAGATCATGAATAAGCAAAACACTATTAAAGAAGAAAAACAAGGTTGGAGGCCTCTCACTTCCTGATCTCAAAACCTACTACACAGCCACAGTAGTCAAAACAGCCTGGTACTGGTATAACAAAAGAAACATACATCAGAGGAATAGAATTGAAAATCCAGTAGTAAGCCCATTTACCTACCTATGGTCAGTTGATCTTTGACAAAGGGCCAAAACATATTAAATGGGGGAAAGGAAGTCTCTAACAAATTTGGATATTTCTTTGGTAAAATGGGATATCCATATACTAAAAGGACACAAATACTAAAACACCAAATACTGAAAGGAACTCAAGATGAATCAAAGACCTAAATTTAAAATCTAGAACTATAAGGAAAAAATAGGGACAAACTTAGGGGCTCTGGTATATGGCATAAACACACTATCAAACATAACTGAAAACACACAAATAACAGAAGACAAAATAAATTACTAGGACTTCCTAAAATTAGACTTATGCACAACAAAATATTTCACCAAAAGAATAAAAAGACAATCTACAGACTGGGAAAGTATTTTTGGCAATGACGTATTAGACAAGAAACTAATCTCTAAAATGTGTAGAAAACTTCAACACCTTAACAGGAAAAGATAATCCAACTAAAAAATGGGCAGAAGACATAAACAGACATTTCACCAAACAAGACAGTCAGGTGGCCAACAAACAAGAAGAAATACTCACCAATCATTAGTCATTAGTGAGATGAAAATCAAAGCAACAATGAGGTATCATCTCACCCCAGCATTAATGTTGTTGTTGTTGTTAAGTGCCGTTGAGTCAGTTCTGACTCATAGTGACTCTGTACAGGGTTTCCAACAACTAGTGGGTTTGAACCACCAACCTTGCATTTAGTTCAGTTCTTATCCTACAGGGCCACATGAGGACTCTCCAGAATTAAAAGCAACATTAAAAAAAAAATGGAAATGTGTGAGAATGTAAAGAGGTGAGACCCTCCTCCTACACTGTGGGGCTGTAAAATGTTGCAGCCACTGTGGGAAATGATAAGGCACTTCCTCAAAAACGTTAGAAATAGAAATACCATATAACCCAGAAATCCCCTCTGTTTGGTATATATCCTAGAGAATTAAGAGCCCGGACACAAATAGATAAATGGACGTTTACGTTCATAGCAGCACTTTTCACAATAGCAAAAGGAGAGAGAGAGAACCTAAATGCCCATCAAAGGAAGAATGGATAAGCAAACTTTGGTACATACACACAATGGAATACTGTGCAATGTTGTAGAAAGATGAATCTAAAACACCTCATAATATGGATGAACCTGGAGGACATTTTGCTGAGTGAAATCAGTCCATCATAAAAGGACAAATATTGCACTATTGTAAAATGTCAAGAAAAGGTTTTCACACTTAAAGAAACATCCTTTTATAGTTATCAGAGATGGGAGGGAGAGGAGAGTAATTAGTTCACTGGTTTGTTATTGTTGTCAAGTGTCATTGAGTGGGTTATGACCCTGTACAGGGTTTGTAGTAACTCTTGGTGTGTATGAACCTCCAATTTTGCAGCTAGAAGTCCAATGCTTATCCTACACCACTATGCCAAGACTCCAATTTGCTGGGTGATGGAAAAGGCAATATACAACAAGATGCAGCTTGGCAGAAGAATGATGAAGGCAGTGAAAGACACAGGGGAGGGGTGTAAGAGTTAAAGGAACAGAGATACTGTTACATACATAATCCTGCAATAACAACGATCTATAGGTAGATACATGGATGGATGACCAGGTTAAACAAGTGTGGGAGGGAGAGAGTGGGAATATACACACAAGTATATACAAAAGTTTGACAGAGAATATTTGTACATGGGTATTTACCTTTGCTACAAATATATCCATGAAGGTAGTGGAAAATACAGGGGGCAAAATTATGAAAACCTCTTAGACATTACCAAACACTTTAAAGGAATAAGTTGCTGGGCCTGAGAGCTCAGGACCATAGTCCTGAGGGACACCATGGTCAATTGGCATAACATAATCCACAAAGACAATGTTCTACATCCTGCTTTGGTGGGTAGCAGCTGGAATGTTGAATGCTTATGGCCAGCCATATAGGGTGCAGCTGTTGATGTCTGCCTGGAGTAGGAAAGATGAATGAAAGTTGGGGATTCTTGGAAACAGTCCAGTGAACTGATGGACCATGTGGTCATCAGTCTTGGAGACCCTGAGACTAGTGGAGTTGGATGGTGCCTGGATGCCACTACCAACTATTCTGAAGAGGCCCATATTGGAAGACTATGGATGAAGTTGGAGAAAATGTGGAACAAAACTCAAAATTATAAGAATCACCAGGCTTGCCAATCAGATGGAGATTGCAGAACCCTGAGACTATGGCCCTTCATGTCTAGAACTGAACTTAGTCCCATGGCTCAATTTTCAGGGTCATGATGAGTCAGAACTAATTGATGACACTTGACAACAAAAAGAAGCCAATGAATTATACTGTCGTCCCTCCCACCCATTGAAGTTGTTGTTGTTAAGTGTCATCAATTGGTTCTGACTCATCCTGACCCTGTATAGGATTTCCAAGAAGCGGCTGGTGGGTTTGAACCTCGATGGTTAGCAGTCCAATGCTTATCCTACAGCACCACACCAGGACTCTCCTCCCACCCGTGATAGCCATCAAAGAACATTTCTTTTAGTGTGAAAACTTTTTCTTGACTTTTTATAGTAATGATCACATGCAGTATTTTGTCCTTTTGTGATTGACTAATTTCATAGGTATATAGCGGGGACAACAACACTACTGAGCTACATCATAGAATGGTCAACCATTCAAGATCAAAAGGGCAGCAGTATTTACCTAAGGACAAAATTGGGAATGATGGAATGGAAACAGAAAACACAGAGGAAGTGGGATAGATGGTGTTGTATTGTATGAAGGGATTGCAATCATTGAAGTGAAACAAAGCTTATGGTTTGTTGAATGTAAAACTGATGATCTGCTCTGTAAACCTTCACTAGGTCCAAAATAAAAAGTAAAAAGATGAGGGTTCAAGCTAGAGCAGTGGGAGAAGAGGAGGAACCAGGAATTTATAAGCTCATCAGCTGCTCCTTGGAAAACCTATACTGGGTCACTCCCTATGAGTCTGAACAGACTAGAGAGCACTTAACAACAACGACTAGGAGCTGTTGTTAAGTGCCATGGAGTCAGTTTCGACTCATAATAACCTGTATAGCGTTTCCAAGAAGCAGATGGTGGGTTAGCAGTCCAGTGTTTATCCTACAATGCCACACCAGGCACTATTTTTTTTATATATTATTCCTGTTTTCTCCTCTGTAAAACAGGGATAATAGAATCACATGTTTAAAAAGATCAAGAAAAGAAGTAAAGCACAAAATAGGGATTCAAACTGATGTTCACAAGACCCCAAAGCTCTTTGCCCTTTTACACTGTGTCACGCCTTGCAGAGACAAAATCTTAGAGCCCAAGTCTCCCAGTCACGTTAAGGAAAATTGGGGGATCAGTCGCCCCCTAGTGGTTCGTTTTTTCCCCTTGTTTAACCAACCACCTCCTACCAAACCAAAAACCAAACTCATTGCCCCTTTAATGCCTGAAATCCGCCCCGTCACAACGAATTAGTCTGCGATCACGATTGGCTAGGTCAAGGCGGTCAGCGTGTGCCCGGGTGGTACTGATTGGCTGGAGGAGGCCACTGAGGAAACTTCCGGGAATGTCCCCACTCCCGCGTTCCGTCGAGCGGCATCCGGCTGCAGCTTGGCCTGTGGCTCCCCCTGCGGGCGCTCTGCAGCGTGCACAGTCAGGCCGGCTGGTTGGGTGGGTAGTGGGCCGTAGGTGGGGGAGGATGTAAACCGATGTAAACTGGGTTGTTTGGATGACGGTTTGGAGTGTAAAATCCCAATCACTGGCTCTGCTACCAGTTCCCTACCACCACCACCCCCACATCCCGTCTCTGTTGGCTCTCGCACGTCGGGACTAAGACTGAAAGAGCATCCCGGGAAGGGGCCTTCCAGCCCTGAAGCAGCCTATCCAGAGACTCCCAAAATCTGATCTTGAGTTTGGAGGCTGCCTGACCCCCTCCTCAGTATGTTAGACCCTGGGAAATGTTGCATGGGGGCGAAGACGCCTGGCATTGAGCCTCTGTTCGCCTTTCCCCCTTCCAGTGGGGTACCGAGACAGCATGACGACGGAGACCTTCGTGAAGGATATCAAGCCAGGGCTCAAAAATCTGAACCTCATCTTCATTGTGCTGGAAACAGGTAGCTATGCTGGGACTGTGGGCCTACAGAGCCCTTGGCGGGTGGGAGGGTGAAACGGGGAGAACATTGTCTCCCTCCTTAGCTTGCGCCGGATATGGCAGGGCCTGCCCTGAAGACAGCTCATTCCTGATGGCTAAATTGTGGTTGGGTACAAGGTAAATAGAACTCTTACCAGTAGCGCCACGTGGGCCTCGTTCCACTCAGGGCCCTCTCCATGGTGCTGGCCCCTCCTCACTCCCCTTCCTCTCCCATCTCGCCCTAGGGATTTGGACTTTATATTCTGCACACCTTTTCCTTCACCTCACCAATATCCAGATCTCATTCTTCTGACCACCACCCTCTGTTAATTTGAACATCTTCCCCACCCCACCTCCATTTATCTGTTCCCTCCAGGCCGAGTTACAAAGACAAAGGATGGACACGAAGTTCGGACCTGCAAGGTGGCTGACAAAACTGGCAGCATCAACATCTCTGTCTGGGACGATGTGGGTAACTTGATCCAGCCTGGGGACATTATCCGGCTCACAAAAGGGTAAATCAGCCCAGTATCCCTGGCAATGAAAAAGCAGCAACAATCAAGGGCAGTGGAATTAGCAATCTTTAAATTTTTGTGAGGACTTTGAATCTTGATTTTCATTTTTGCCTCCACAGGTACGCTTCAGTGTTCAAAGGTTGTCTGACATTATACACTGGCCGTGGTGGTGATCTACAGAAAATTGGAGAGTAAGTTCTGTTCTGTGAACTGGGATGTAGCAGCACTGGGGGGAAGGAGTAGAAGGGCGGACAGCTCATGCTGCCATCTGGGCTTTTTTTTGAGGCCTTCAGCACTGGCACCAGAGGATGAGTCTAAGGCTTTGGCCCTTTTCTCCCCTTGCAGATTCTGTATGGTTTATTCTGAGGTTCCTAACTTTAGTGAGCCGAACCCAGAGTACAGCTCCCAGCAGGCACCCAACAAGGCGGTGGTGAGTCCCATGGCTATAATGATGAGGAGGGCAAACAACCATAGGGAGCAGCGACTGAGTATATAGTTTGTGCTTTCAGGTGCAGAATGACAGCAATCCTGCTACCCCCCAACCCACCACTGGACCGCCTGCCACTTCTCCAGGTAAACCTGTTCCTTTTCCTGCACTGGTCCTCCTATCTCCTTTTCTCCTCAGCCTGTTGTGTTACTTGTTGTCACTAAGTTAATTCCAACTCATGGTGACCCCATGTATGTCAGAGTAGAACTGCTCCATAGGGTTTTGAAGGCTATGACCTTTCAACAGTAGATTACCAGCCTTGTCTTCTGAGACACTTCTGGGTGAATCTGAGCCGAAAACCTTTGGCTAGTATTTGAGCATGGTTTGTGCCTCCAGACACTACTTTTCCTCATTTGGGCAGATGTATTTCCCTCATCCATTTTCACCCAATTCTCCTCCACATCCCCTCACTTATGATACCTTTTGCAAATTTCTGTGGTGAAGGGATTTGGGGAACTTTTTCTACCACTGATAGAGCTCAGGTACCTATTTGCCACTACTATTCAAAGACAAAAAGGAGGATATCTTCACAAAATTTCACTCTTTCATTCTAGGTGGTTTTTCACTGCTGCTTCCCTGGCAAATCTTGCTATTTTCCGACCTTGCCCATTTGTAATTCATCACAGGATTCTGATACACCATTACTGTTTTTTTTATTATTTTTTTTTTTTATTTTATTGTGAATTATGTGATAGTTTACATGGGAGAACATTAGTTTTACATTCATCCTTATCGTATATCGTTTCATTGCCATGGTTACCGTCCCCTCCATGCATCATTAACCAACCAAAGGGTATACCCTACAAGCCTGCCCCCCAGTCATCAGCACACAGCTCCTCTCCATCTCTGTGTCTAAAGTCCCCAGCTGCTCCATCTCTCCACGTCATCGTCTCTGCCTCCATCTCAGGCACCACTGCTTCTCTGGGTAGGGTCCCGCTCTCCACTCTTCTCCCTTGATGGGTCCCAAGGACCTCCACTCCTAGACTGCAAAGTCAACCACTCCCCTCCATGCTACAAAACATCTACCTTTACATTTCCAACCCTCACAATCAGTCCTGATAATAATTATTCACTATTGTATCACAAGAGACCTATCCGCATTTCCTTTCATCAGCCCCGCCTAGACAGATTGGATACTATTCAGTGGAGATTCTACCTTCCTCCTTGCCCTCTGGATCTAGGTTCCCACTTGAAAGGTTGTAAGCCAGTCACTTCTTGCCTTTGTAGCCCTTCCATTTTGGGTAACCAATGTCCAAGTTGCTCATCCCTGTCTACTCTGTGATACACCATTACTTTAAAAGTTCAACATGGAGTCCACACTGAACAGCTTGGGAGCATTAAATAGTTTCATTTGGGGTCCCTACTCCTCTTGAAATAAATGTGCTGCCTCTAGACCTTGTTCCTGAGGGGCCATGATTCTTCCATTTCATGATTTTAATCTTTTGAAGAATTGGACCATACTACAAATCACCAACTTTTGATGACAACCATTCACTGACTCTGCCTCCTTCACTAGTGCATCTGGTGTCCCCTAGATTCTCCTCAAGAACCTAGCTTTTAATGCTCTTTCTCCCACTGGCTTGACTCTGGCACATCTCCTAGCTAAACTTTCCAGTGTTACCTCGTCCCAGTTTCTCCTGGTGACTACGTTTCAAGCTCCCTCTGCCCATCTTCAGTTTGTATCTATGTCCCTGGTTACCATGGTTTTCAGAATTTCTTGCCTGTCAGAGCCACTGAGGGTCATGGTATTTTTTAGAACACCATGAACGAACACCATTTAATTTCACCACCAAAAAATTAGCCTCCAGGTTTCCAACAGAAAAGATTTCTATTATATGTTTTCTGATCTTCATGAGTCAGTAAGTTATACAAATATTTTTAATGTTATTTTTTAAGTCTGTTTGCCCCTAATATTTGTTTACCACATGCTTAATCATGTTGTTGTCATCCGCTAACAGGTATAAAAATTTAATTCTGACTTCTATTCATTCACCTTTTTCTATGAATTGGGAAATGGCATTATTTTTCAGTTTTAGTGGTAGATATTTTACTTCCATGGAGGGTGTAGTAGGGATCTGGTTTGAGAACAATTAGCTTATGACTTATAACCCCATTTAGTGTTCATAGTGCCTTATGTGAAGTCCTGGTGTGGCACTGTAGGATAAGGTCAATGGTTCAAAACCATCAGCTGTTCCTTGAAAACTCTATGCAGGTTTGCTATGAGATGGAACCAACTCGACTGCACACAACAATAACAACAGTGCCCTCTGTATGTGAGGCAGGTCTCTGTCTTCATTTAACAAGCATTTATAGAGCACTTATGTGCCAAGGAATAAAACGCAACACATGCATGTAGGAACTTAGAGTCTACAAAGGAGACACACACACAAACACACTACTCTGGTGAGTGCAATGATAGTGATATGCAGAGAATTATGGGACATCTCACACCTGGTTAGAATCAAACATTTAAAACACAAAAATGTTATCTTTAGGGGTGAGATTATGTGATAATTTCTTTGCTTATGCTTATCTATATTTTAAAAAATGAGTATTATTGTGACCTACACACACACACTTATATATATGTTGTTGTTGTTAAGTGCCATCTAGTTGGTTCCAACTCATAGTGACACTGTATAGGGTCTCTGAGAAACAGCTGGTGAGTTTGAACTGCTGACCGTGTGGTTCACAGTTCAGTGCGGATCCTACAGTGCCACACCAGGAGTCTGTATGTTGTTGTTGTTGTTAAGTGCCATCGAGTCGGTTCCGACCCATAGCG